GAGAGAGAGAGAGAGAGAGAGAGAGAGAGAGAGAGAGAGACGGGCGGACAAGAGAAGAAAAGAAGAGGGCAAAGCGAACAAGAAAGCGACGAGGAGTGTTCCTATATACCGGTGGTGTGTTTGAGCCGAGGGCCGCCGCCGGTGCCGCCGCCGTCGTTGGCGTGCAGTTGTTATCGACCCATCCATCTATCGTCGCAGAGGGTCGGTGAATGACGGAAGCGCCCTACGTGCTCGGCGTACTCCAGGGCGCGCGCCCTGAAGACGTCAGCAGCAGCAGCAGCAGGATCCATTGCCGATTCGAGACGTGATCGCCTTAATGCGGAAGACCTGTAGCAGCAGCCGAGGAGGCGGCCCCGGGCGGGGCGGCGGGCGGGGTGCGCGCACTCACGGCTGCGGGGGGCGGGCGGGGCGGGCGTGCGGACGCGAGCACAGGGACGACGCCGTTGGTGCTCCAGCCTCGGCTGCAGCCGGGCGAGCGGCGGCGCCAGCAGCACAGGCCAGGTGCGGCAGCAGCAGCACTAGTAGTGTCGCTTCCATATTCAGCAGGCTGCTGGCAGATTGCTCCTACCCCCCTACCCCGCCCCCTCCGCCTGTGTCGAGGTTCACTGATATTGACTAAGTTGTCGATCCTTCGCCGCCCCCCGCTGCCGCGCTACACCGCGCCCCGCAACACTCCATAGGAGAGCCGCTGCTCGGCGGGATTAAAACCGTCACCGCCGGTCGGTAATGCTGTTAACTTCCGGCGCGCGAGGCGTGGTGGTGGGCGGGGCGGGCGAGGAAGTCGACAGGAGAGACGACGCGACACAACGCGAAGCGACGTGATTTGATTACATTTCGCGCACCTTTACCTGGTGCGCGCCTCGCTCGTCGGCGTCGCGCGTCTCTAGAGGAATTTACACGTGCTTCTCTCTGCTCCTCTCGCTCTGCCTTACAAATACGAAACACACAGCCGGCGCCGGCCTGCTGCTGCTGCTGCTGCTGCTCGCTCGTGTAGCCCTCGGGGGCCGAGGGGGCGTGGCCGGGGGGCGGCACG